TACTAAGTAAATATTTTCACCAACCTGAAGATTAATTTGACCCTTTATTTTTTTATTCAGCCTCCTTTTTAAATCTGCCTGTGTGTGCTTATTTCTGTATTGTTTTACATACTAATTTTAAATTAACTAACATTTCTCTTAATCAGTTACATCAGCATCTTACATCAGCGTGTACAATGTTTTATTTTACAAATAAAGCAGGCCTGGATGTTGAGCTATCGATCCTTTGCTAATGGATCGTTAACCGTTAGCTTGCAGCGTGCTAACCGTTAGCTTGCAGCGTGCTAACCGTTAGCTTGCCGTTTGCTACGGTTTAGCTCAAAGATTACTCAATAAAAATGTCAGATTTAATGCTTTCTTCGCATTCTTGGAGATGCCTGTCTCCGTTTTAATTCTAGTAATGAAATAAAACGTTTTAAAATAATTTTAGCATTATGTTGTGTACATCTGCTCTGGAATAAATCACCAGTAAACCATGGAAACCGTTTCTCTTCCAGCGTTTCCACCAGTAAACCATCACGTCGCTTCCAGCAGCCGACCCATTTGTCTGCTGACATTAGAGGAGGAACCTCCGCAGCAGCCGGCGCAATGCCGCTCCTCCTGCCGGGAATCAGCGACATTTAACGAGCCGAAGAGCGAAAACCCGGCTAACAACCATAGACATAATATAAGGATAGACCCTCATGGACCGCTCTCGCCTATTGTCGCTGACGAGATTTAGGGCGGCCATCTTGGAGCGGTCCACCACTCCACTCAGCGTTATGCGTTTAGCAGCACAATGACGTATCAGCGCATTTAATCGATCATAACACACTTTTTTGTTACTGGAAACCATATTCAAACATCTATCAAAGCTACATTTATAAACAATTGTATTTTTTTAAGTATGTTTTTATACATAGTTCATCATATTTAAATATGCTTAGTGGCTATAACAATAGAATAGGAATGGAATATTCTGATATCGATGTATGAAGAGCATATTACAAAGCACACAGCCACACAGCTTATATTATGTCTATGCTAACAACACCTGAAGGAGCCCAGAGACGGGGAGACAGCGGGAGGTCTAAAGCGGACAGTCACTGGTTAAACTGGGTTAAAAGGTCCTGAGTTAACTGGGAGTGAGACTTTCAGCAGACACGAAGCTGGGTTCCTTCAGCAAGTTAAATGGTATCAGAACTGATTCCAGCCTGACCCTCTTTTAAACTGGGTCGGAACTTCAGTTCTGGTAGGTCCGGTTTGGGACCTAGAAGAGGTCCGTGTCCACCACAGGGGACAGGAAGCTGCTCTTCACACCCGCCCAGGCGCTGCTGCTTCCTGTCTCACCTGCTGACCTCTCACAGCTGTGAGGTCAGCGAGGCCTGGAGGCATCAAGCTGGCCCGGTTCTGACCCACTATACGCCCCCTAGGGGGGGCGCCGTGCCATTGCAGGGGGGGCGCGGGAAGCCGTCTGGTTGGGAAAAAACAAAACAAAACATGAACACTGTATGCGCTGGGTTTTTACCTTAGAATGTCTCTGTTATTCCTATGTCAATTTGATACAGTAGAGGCTTCCACACTTCCCATATTTGTGTCCTCTGTCACTTTTATCAGCAGTTAAAACCGTTTAATCCGTTGCTAACATGTTGTAACCTGTTTTTCCGAGCCGCCTTTAAACGCAACATGAGCGCTACGACGCTCACGCTTTATACCTGTGGGCAGTGAAGGAGACCTGCTGCTGCTGGGCGGAGCTACCAGTGGCGCAAAAAGTGGGTATGCAGCGCATGCAACGCATAGGGGCGCTGCACCAGAGGGGGCATCAAACCCCGTCTGGAGGGGGCGGCGCCCCGATGATGCCTTCACTAAACCGCGATCTTACGCTCCTTCACCTCGCGCGAATGTAAATGTAAATGTAGCGAGTTTTACCTTTCATGTGTCTTCGTCTCGGGGAAGCACCTTAAGCTTGTTAACAAGTAGCCTGTAGGCTACCGATACTGTTGTCTATGACCAGCTACTACATTAATTTTGCCCCCCAAGAAGTCGAACCCCCCGCCAAACACACAGCTATTTATAATCCATAGGGGGGGCAGGGGGCAGAAAAAGTTTGGGAACCACTGCTCTAAGCTGAAACTTTCTGGTTCTGGTCAGATTGTCACTTTAATGGACCGCTTTGCGTCTGAACGGCACTGGATGGAAGCCTGAGTGAAGACAGAGCCGGTTCCTGCTCAAGGTGCTCCCAGTATAGCAAGAAACGACCAGTCAGAGGTAGGAGGCGGACCTTAACGCTGTCAATCACCCTGCTCATGAAAGCTTGAAGAGCTGGATGGAGCCTGTCCGGAGGCTCAGGAAGGGTCAGAGGTCACAGCAGGTTGGTTCCTCTGATGGAAGGAAGTTCAGGAACCTGGAGATTAGAGAACTTCAGACAACTGCTTTCTCCTGAACATTTACTGTTCATGAAGGCATCGCTCTACTGGGGCTCAACTCCTTTTAGCCGCTAATCTGTAGAAATTCCTCTTTCAGGTTCTATCTTCATGGTTTTGTTCAATTTGTGACATTTTTATGAGATATTTTTAATTTTGTAGTATTTGGTCTAAAACCGTCTCACTCAGACACGCCCCCTGGTGGTGAGTCAGGAGGTGGAGCAGCTAGCATTGATTGGCAGCGTCTCTCAGCTTTGTGGCTCTGGTCTGACTGCAGGCGGTTCGCTGCAGAGCTGAGGACGAGTCGGTTCGGTTGGTGAGATGTGAACGCTAGTCGACCTCTGACCTCTGGTTCTCCAAACCTCGTCTGGGTTCGGTTGAAGTGAACTCTGGTTGGTTTGAATGTGAACACCAAGCGGACCAGAGACCGCTCCAAAAGCAGGAAGTGGACTACAGGGCAGGGCATTCTGGGTAAATACAACCAAAGCTAACGTGCTAGCCTAGCGCTAGCAGCAGAAATGGCTCCTGGTCTTTAGCCTAAAGAGAAATCCTCCAACCGCTAAAATCCTCCATCTTGTTTCCATCTGGTGAAGAAGGAAGTTGCTCTCAGCGTCTTCAGAGGTTTTTGTGTCGTTTCCCTCAGTGGTTCTTGGTGCAGCGCCCCCACAGGCCAGGAGGGGAACAGGTTGGTTTGACTCAGAGCCACAGCAGCTGGAGGTGGAGTTTTGCTCCAGTAGCTGTGGAGTCCTGGCGTCCGTTACGAACCTGTGCCAACAGGAGCGATGCGTCTGACGCAGCAGTTCCTCACCTTGGCCCGCAGCACGGTGCAGTGCAGCTCGCTGCAGCTCGCATCGTAGCGCAGCTCGAACTCCAGCGTTCCCAGAGCGGCTGAGGAGACAGAGAGGAAGAGGAGGATGAGGAAGATAACCTCCAGAAGACATGAACAAAATGGATTTTTTATTGATTATTCTCTATAGAAGCAATGAAATGAGCTGCACAACAGAGATTTTTGAGAATTTACATTTCAGTTCTGTTTGGTTTTCTGTGCCTGAAGATTTTAGTTTAAAATAAATCGAGCAGCTGTATAATGTTTGATGTTTAACCTTTTAAAAATAAATCTTCAATTCAAAAATACATTTCTGATATCTTCTAGTTCCACTTACTAGCAACAGGGAACACAGAGACTGATTTGTTTCATATAATATGTATTACTATGTTATTGATGTAAATGTTTCTGACTAGATAAAAACTAAAGGATCCTTCAGAAACCATCCAGTGATTATTGATGGTGAATAAACATGAACGTTTGGCGACATATTTAGTGAGCGTGTTTGTTTGATGTGTGATCAAAGCTTCAGCTCAGCTGCTCCTCTGCTCTCATCGACTCGTTAAAAACAATCAGCCTGAACGGCGGCTCAGTCAAAGGCTCAGTCAGGTTAGATCATCCTTCCTGTTCCTGATGAAGCTCCATCTGATCCGCTGAGATCCAGAGACCTGCAGGTCGGACTGCAGCCGGGTTTCTGGTTTATTTAGCTAACGACTTTAACGCATTAAACCACAAGTGAGAGTAAAAACTTTTTTGATGGAAATGCGTCTAATGATGTGACAGCAATGCTGTGAATTTTAAGAGAATTTTAAAAACGTATATTAGATGCGTTTCCATCTGGAGCGAACCAGGCTAGCAGAAGTTGATCTGATGTTGATGGCTGTAATAAACAGGAAGTGGAAGTTGCTAGCTAACATGTAGCTCATAAAAACAGAGACATTGAAATTTTTTGAGCTTCGTGCCTCTGGTAAGGCACTGAGCCACCAGTGATGGAAACTTGTTCAGCTAACGTTTCCATCTTTAGCGCATTAACTCTTTTCTGGAAAAGACAAAAACCAACTAAAGCGACCGTAAAGCTTTGAATTTTTCCTGTAATATTGATGAAACGCAGCATGAGGTGGTCATAATGATGTGCAGATTGGGTTGGATCATATCCACCAAAGTGGGCAGAGCCAAGAGGGGCGTGGTCAGGATGAGGGGACATCATATTACGGTAATTACAGTAACGTAAGGTCACAGAAACATCAATTCGCCGCCACCTGGCTCATCCTGATGTTTTCACACAATCGGCCATCTTGGTGTTGGCAGGACGGCTGCTGGTCTAATGAGTGAAGACTGATGAGACGTTCCTGAACGCACCATGCAGGAGCCACATGGAGACGTGTGAACACTGACTGCTACAGCGTTTCATGCATTCACAGACCACCAGGCGGCGGCTCACTGCTGTCGTCGCTGTCCTCGCTGTTGATGTCCACCGACGTTTCCACACTGCTGTTCTGGGACGACGACCCGCCCCACCCCCACTGGGCCCGCAGCGGCGACAGCAGGTTGGCCCCGCCCTCCGGCGCCGCCGCAGCGGGGGGGCTGAGGGCCACCGGGGAGGAGGAGGGGTTAGGGGAGGCAGGAGTGTGGGAGGTGGGGGAGAGGCGGGGGAAGTAGGCAGAGATCTGCCGGATGGGTCTGATGGGACCAGGACAGACGTCTATGGCCATGTGTTCCTGGATGGACATGCTGAGCTTCTTTCCTCTCTGCACCGTCATAGAGTCTGGAGACACAGAGGACAGACGGCAGGGGATGGACAGGGGACGGAGAGGGGACGGAGAGACAGCTAAGCTTTACAATCTACCATTAGCAAACTAATGTTCAGTCTTATTGGGTCCATTTCTAAGGTTTTGGACTCCAGTGGAACCAGTGGAACCATGACTCTCACCTCGACCAGAACCTTCCAGTACCAGGTTCAACAACATAGACCGAACAACACCTCTGCTGGCCTCATGCTCAAAGGTCAACAATCAGAGACAATAGCCTCAATGGGAAAGATCCAAGACCAGAACCACTGCTGACCCAAAAGAACACAAAACCTGTCTCACCCAAACCATCCACGAGACTTCTGGAAAAATGTTCTGGTGGCTCTTCTTCAACGACCTGCCACGATGCGTTCAGGAGCCCCAACGACATGCTGCGATGCATTCAGGAGCCCCAACGACCTGCTGCAACGCCGCGATGCGTTCAGGAGCCCCAACGACCTGCTGCAACGCCGCGATGCGTTCAGGAGCCCCAACGACCTGCTGCGATGCGTTCAGGAGCCCCAACGACCTGCTGCAACACCGCGATGCGTTCAGGAGCCCCAACGACCTGCTGCAACGCCGCGATGCGTTCAGGAGCCCCAATGACCTGCTGCAACGCCGCGATGCGTTCAGGAGCCCCAACGACCTGCTGCAACGCCGCGATGCGTTCAGGAGCCCCAACAAACTGACCAACGCATAAAAAACATGAAAACAAAATTTCTTCTGTTCAATAAATCAATACATTCATCAATGAATGCATTGGATTTTTTCCTTAAACACAGAGAAATTTTTATTATTGACAAACTATAAATAATGACATAATTCAGAGTTTTCTGATTGAAAGTTTCTGTTTATGATTCATTTATAGATTTTCCTCACATCTCCACATATTTCAGCATCTTTCTGTTCAGTGAGCCTAAGAGGAAACGACACACAAACATCTGCTGAGGGAATTTAAAGCTTCGCTCTGAAACTGAGTTTTGCAGAAAATGGCTGCAGGTTTGATGTTTCTGGAGCAGCGGAGGCGATCTGCCCACAGATCCTCCGTCTAATTCAACACGCTGCTGGAAAAAAAGAGGATTTACTGCAAACTTCCTGCCTGCGTCTCTTTGGGATTCAAATCCTCCTCCCACATTATCATTCAGTCCAAAAAGCCGCTGCACATCAAGACGGCCTGCTGGAAGCTGATCCACCGGAGGAGGATCAGAAAAACGATCCCGATCCCTCAAATTTATGGAAACATGAGCAGAAAATACAGTTTATGAATATTTAACATGAAGGGAAAGCTTCAAAAAACAAATCCAGTTCAGACTCCAGGAAGTCTTTAACATCTCCTCATTCCGTCCCTACAACCAGGAAGTCCAGATGTTCCTGAACACACCACAGTCTTCCTCACTTCCAGCCTTCATGCTGTAAATCTGCTGAGGATCCAGAAGTTTCTCCTGTAGAGTTTCAGGAACGGATGCGAAGCGCCGCACCAGATCTGAACTTCATAAGCTGCAGGAACTAAATAAATACATGAGAGTCTGATGCCACAAAATATTCACATTTTAACAAAGAAAGGTCAAATGTCAGACATGAACGTCGTCCAATCAGATGGCATAAACATCTGATTCTATGCTTTGCTGCGCTCTGGACCCTCAGTTAAGTAGAAACCATTACTTCCTGGAGGCGTGGCCTGCGTTTAAATTTACATGTTTTCATTTTACTCAGTCGCTAGCGTTATGTATGAAACGCACCAGCTCAACATTAGGAAGCTAAGGGGAGATTACCTGCTGATCTAAACAAGGCGGCTCTGACGTTAATATTAATATTTGGGGGCGTGGCCAACGCGGCCTGAATAACATCCCTCACCTCCTGCTGACTACGATCCCAAAGCAGCAGAAAAAATAACATCATTGTTCACAACTTCTCCTTCTGCTCGCTGGTTGGCCTGGCAGAAAATCTACCAGAGACAATCAGAGTGAATGGCAGAAAGCCCAAATTGTCTGTGAAGGGAAATGAGAATCTAGTGGAACAGAGCAGGAAAGCGATAGCCAGGCCAGAGCTGGACGCTAACTATGAAAAAGTGTTGCCATGATAATCCAGACTGAGTCTCTGATAAACTGTCAACAACAGTGGAGCCGTTAGCCTAGCGCTGCTTTAGCCATGCTGGTTGTTCTTCCTAAACGTGTCGTAATATCTGCTCTATCGCCCCCTATCTGCACGGAGGAAGGCGTTTCTCGGTGCATGTTGCTGGTAAATCAGAGGCTTCAATGATTAAATTGTGGGAAGGACTCAGCTGTTGCCCTTCTGGGCCTGTAGGTGGCGCTTTGCAGCTTCCAGGCAGATTTTGTGTTTTAGTTCTAGTTCCTGCAGAGTGACAACCAGAACTAGAACAGAGACGTTTTAAAGGAAACTTTGAGCCTCTTCCTGATGCTGGAGCCTTTTTCATTTTCTGGATGAAGGAAATATTACAGCAGCCAGCCATATTCAACACATTTTACAGTTCAAACTAAATATTACAGCAGATATCCAACACACTGAAGGAGAGGCTTCTCCTCACATTCAGCTCTGCTGGTTTCCTGCTCAGAACCTCCACTTAACAAATTCAGAAATTTTCCTGGAATCCTGTTTTCATTGAATGCATCAGCTCAGTTTTATGTAAACTGATCGGCGTTTTCCCTTTGAAGCAGATGAAGTTATATAAACCCAGCAGCTCTTTTGTTCCCATGCAGCGCTGACACAAATCTACTGTAAATTTAATGTATCTCAGCAGAGGCTTCTGCAGTGAAACAGTGAGAAAAGTCCTGCAGGTCTCCCTGCATGTGTCACTTTCTAAAGCTGAACAGAAAAAAACAACAATGTTCAGAGAAGTTAAATCCCAGCTGCAGAGTGGAGAGGAGCTGCTTACCTTTGATTGTGGGAGTGGAGGAGATTCCTGCACAAACAAGACGGAGGGTCTGCACTAACAGGTGGAGAGACGAGCAGCGAGCAGGAGAAAGAGGAGGAGGAAGAGGAGGACTCCCTGTGACTGATCCACTCCTCCTGTTTGCGCCTCGCTGCTCCAGATTCTGATATTTCTAATACTTCGTCGCTCAGCTTCACATTCATCTGCAATGTCAACAGCGATGAAGCTCTTCCTTTAATCACACATGTATTAGATCCCCCCCTCCCCCCGGCCCCATCCTCTTCCTCCTCAGGCTGTGTGTGTGTGTGTGTGTGTGTGTGTGTGTGTGGGGGGGGGGCAGAGTAAAATAATGTGCCAACAGCAGCATCTGTCTTTCTGCTCCTCTGTATAATTTGAGCTTAATGATGCCTAATGATACATGTGTGATCCAACACACCATCACACTGGAAGGGTGAGGAAGACGTGGCCTCCTCCTCCTCCTCTTCCTCAGAGGGGTCCCTGGGGTGAAGGATCTTCCTCCTCCTCTCCATCCGCCCACTCAGCAGCAGCTCAGCCAGCCGGGCGGACCGCAGGAAGCCGGACTTTCTCTGCGCACCTGATCAGGAGCCTCATGTGAAACCAGATGGAAGAGTTTCCTGTTGCTTTGCTCGCTGATTTTCCAACTGACTCCTCACCATCTGCTTCTGTTTATTTAGGGGTGTCAGAGTAGAGGCAGCGATGTGAAAAGGCGTGTTCTCTCCTGGTAGTTTATCTAACTTTTCCTTTAGCTCTTTAGCATTTTGCAAACTTTAAAAACGTTCGACTAATTTAGCTTCCTCTAAGTTAATTTTTCCAAATAAATTCTACTTAAACTTTCAGTTTTAATAACGTTCTAAATCTGTGTTGAAATTTTGGTGAGAAAAAGTTAAGATTTATAACAATTTGATTCTTCTTCTTCTTCTTCTTCTTCTTCTTCTTCTTCTTCTTCTTCTTCTTCTTCTTCTTCTTCTTCTTTTCTTCCTTATTAGCGTTTGGCCAGAAACGTTAGTATACATTACCGCCACCTGCTGGAGGCATGGGTTTAGATGGTAAAACATGTTTTGTTCTGTTGAGAGAAGGGAATTAGTATGTAGATTACAAGACAGTAAATTGCAGTTAAATATACAAATATTTTGGACAAAATTTCTACATCTGAATATTTTTGTTCTTTATTGAAATACCTTAGGAAAACGAAATTGAGAGAAAGGATATCATTTTTTTTGGGTGGCATTCCGGTCCACACTCCACTCCAGTAGATGGCAGTAATGCACATAATTTTTTATGGCGATTCCTTGCAGAACACCATAAAAAAGAAGAAGGGATAGGGTTTATATTTTTTCCTCTTAGTTTGGAGTCAGTATAAGCAGCAGTTGTGTTCTCTATGAGGGACCTATGGAAGAAGATTAGGGCCACTGGAAAAAACAAAAACTGATTAAAGTCAGAACGTTTTTTTTCTGTGGCCCTACAAACTCTTACATATGCTAGTAGGCTACATGCAAGAGAGTTTGATGGTATATGTCAGAGAGTGTGTAAGTTTGGGCCCTGTCTCATAGAAAAAGTAAACCAATAAACAAACCAACGAATGGGCTAAACATTAAACACTTACATGAATAAACAACCAGGGTTTGAAACAAAAACATGCAAAAACTCACACTATGAATAGTTTTGAGAAGATCCTCATATTCTCACCTGGTGGGTATCAACATGCTTGGCATAATATTATAATTTAGCTTCTGCTAAATATAATTGTACAACAGTGGTTTAACATTCTCTTCTGGTAATTACTGTGTTGGTATAGTACTTTAGCATTAGCTTCTGCTAAAAGCTGTGTCGGTGTAGCGCTTTAGCATCAGGGCTACACCGCTTCAGGGTTAGCGCAGCTAGCTTTATAGCTAGCACCCTCCTCCGCTGTTAGCTTGTGAAGGCTTCAGCTTCATGGTTCTTCGCTACTTTGTGAGAAAATGATGTGAACAAATGATGTGAAAAAGCTTATTTGGTTCCTCACAGTCTAAAAGTCCAGCTTCAGGTCCAACAGAACCAGAACCTCGGGAGAACCTTCTGGGTTTAACCAGCTCTCCATCCTCAGAGACACGCCCACTCTGGTTCTGGAGGTTCTGATGCTTCTGGGTCACTCTGAAGGTGAAGTACTAGGAAATGGAGGGAATCACCATGGCAACGAGAAGAGCACTCCATCATGGCTGCTTCTGAGTTCGTGTTGTGTTTTGGAGCTCAGAGGCCACCGTCCTTCTGCTCCCCCTCCCTGTAGCAGTCTGTGCACCTGTGGCAGCGACCGGCCCTCTGACTGAAGCACACAGAGCTCACTGCTGCTGCCCCCTGTTGGCGGCCACGGAGCACTGCAGGTGCTTCCCTCAGCAAAAACACAAAATGCTTCAACTAAGCTGGACAGACAACAACCTGGTAGTGGAGGCATCATGCTGAGGGATGATTAATGAAGGTTCCAACATGGAGGCACTTTAGTTTATTTCCTCAGCAGGTCCAGTTGTTCTGGTTCAGCCTTTTTGTGATTGGTTGGTTATTTTAAAGCTGATTTTTCTCTGGGCTCTGATTGGCCGGCTGCAGTGGCCTGATGGAAACAACCTGTTGACTTTAACCTCCGACCTGCTGCAGGCCAGATAAGCAGGTTAATGTTTGAGCCTCTGCAGGAAAACAAACGTCTCCTCAGGAACCAAACCTTCCTGCTGCCTCCTGACTCCCCTCTCCTCCTCCTGACTCCCCTCTCCTCCTCCTGACTCCCCTCTCCTCCTCCTAAACTACCTCTGGTGCTGCTGCAGAAACTAAATCTCATCAACAGCAGCTTCTTCAGGTGATGCTCAAGCAACAGCTGTGAAGGTGGTCAGGGTCAGGAGGTCAGGGTCAGGAGGTCAGGAGGTCATGGCTGTGAGAAACCTGCAGCTGCTGCTGGTTAGACACCAGTTTAAAGAAACCAGTTTAATCTTCACAAACAGCTGGTCAAAAACATTAAAAATGTCTCCATAAAGTTCTGAATCCAATAAATGTATTGAAAAAAGATTTATTTATTTGTTACTGTTTGGTTCTGTGGATAATAAAAATAAATTTATAAATGACTAAAAAAGACAAAAGTGGAGCGCCAGCTTGAAGATTCAGAGCTGTAAAAATAAAACAAACTGAAATGATGGAGTTTTGTTTCCTCAGCTGCTTGTTTCTTTATAAGAGGCCAAAGTCAGTCAGGAGACGCCAAAGGTTCGATTTTCACTTCAGGAGCTAAATTCACTTTTTCTTTATATGTTTGTGTGCAGTGGAAGTTTCTGAGGCAGCAGTTGTTTGTTGGGGTTGAGGGGAGGAGGAGGAACCGGGGGGAGGAGGAGGAGCCGGGAGGAACTTATAAAAATTCACTCGGAGGAAGCAGAACAACAAAGCCGCAGCAGAACCAGAACCGGACCAGAACAGCTGGAAGCTCCCGAGGCGACCATGAGCCACGTCGACGTGAAGAACCTGAAGCTGTCCAAGTTCGAGGAGGAACATTACGATGAGTATGACCGCTACAACCTGACGGATAAATACGCAGGTGAGGAGGGAAGTCTGCTGCACACCGATGAAAACTAACGGTTCTGTTTGCGGCGCAGAGGGTTCGGCCCGCAAAGGCAGAACCAAGAAGGAGGCCAGCGACAACACAAACCGCCAGAATCCTGCAGGACACGAAAGGAAGATCGTGGAAAAACTGCAGAACAGCGAGAAGAAGGCCAAGGAGTGAAGCCTGAGGTACCAGCAGCTGTTACTGCAAACCAACATTTGGACGGATTTCACTGATTCTATGTTACATTATTAATGAAGCTTAGAAGTTAAATAAGCTGAAATGTTGACTGAAAAGATTTACAGCTTTAATTTGACGCTTTTATGCTGAACATCTGGCTCAGAGCTCTGCGGAAATGGGCGGGACTGTCGAGGTTTTATTTTTATTCTGTCATTTTTATGTCTCTGCAGCAGGTTGGTTTTTAAAAGTTGTGTATAAATTAACTCTGAACATTGAACTCTACGGAAATGGGCAGGACTGTTGTGAAATCTGCCAATTTAACTTTAACCTTTGACCTCCACTGAAAAAGTTTTCCTGTCAAACGAGAATATTTTTATCAGTGCTTACACAAAGATCTGCCGATTTGGAAATCCTGTTTTATTTTGGGAAACATCTTGGACTTGATGATCTATGAGATCTGGAAAAGTCTTTCAGAGCTCAAGTCCTTCTTTCCCTTCCTGCCTTTAACCCTTTGAGACCTAAAACTAAAACTGTTCTGACATGATGAAGACTTTCTGAAATGCTCAGATACTCAAAAAGCTCATTTTAAAACTCACTGCACAACTTATTGACCTGAAATATTTAAAAATCTTTGACAAAATATTTCTACGATCCAAAGGATTTTGTTTAGGCTTTGATGGGTCCAATCAGACATGAACCACTGAGAAGAGTGTGTTTGTGTGTGTGTGTGTGTGTGTGTGTGTGTGTGTGAACCCAGGGCTGGTCGGATGGATCTTCCCGGTAACTGACCACGGCCTCCTTGGCGACGGATCGAGATGTTTGGATGGCAGGAGTTTGTTGGCGCTCCGCCTGGTTGGAGCCTGCGGAGCCATCAGCTCGCTGACCCCTGCAGCTGCTGAGGCTGACCTTTCGGTCGGCGTGCTGCAGAGTCTGGACCGGAACCGCGGCGATGCAGCTGGAATGACTGGGTGGCAGCTTGGAGACGCTTTTAATGCTTGTTTTTATAAGACAATGTTTTATCATTAAAGGATTGTAAACGGATCATAGTTTCTGTTTCTAGTTTGCTTTGTTTGTGTCAATTATATCAGTTATATTTTGTGTAAAGTGACTTGAGGAAATCTCTAGTCAGGCAAAGGGAGCTTTGGAATTACGTGAATAAATAAATATATTCCTGAAACGTAACCAGAGACTTCATCTCTGTCAAACTAATTTGATGTTTTGCATGATAGACCTTTAATATGCACCTGAATGTGTATAAAATTAAAATGTACAATACTGCTTTTATGATATGACTTAGATTAATCATTCCTATTTAATTTGAATAAGTAATCGTTGTATGCGCAGAGGAAACGGCGCTGACATGAAGTTTCATGAAATTAAGACATTTACCAACTCTGACCTGACGGAGGAGTGGTGGCGCTGTTGGCATTTTGAGCCCAACACCCCAAAAGAAGAAATAGATGCTAATCCGAGGTTAGCTCGTGGCTCGTAAACACATAAACAAATCTGCTTGGTGAGTGTTTTAGAAGCTTTCTAATAAATAATCTGAAAATATATCAATGTTACTAATGTTTTAGATTATCATATTTGTGTAGAATCTGCGGAGTTGAGATTATTATGTGATTAAACACGAACAGCTACTGCTAATTGCATATCGGCTCGTTAAGTTTTAAACATTTCGGACTTTTATTCGGCCTCTAAATTCCCTCAGAGCCACTTTAGGCCAAAGACTAGAATATTATATCAATGTTTGACCTCATCTTGGTTTTAAAGATGGCTTAAAATATTGTTTTATGTTTGTTTTATTCTGGAAAGAACGGAAACATTAATAACTAGAGAGGTCAGTTAGAGTATAAATGATGTAAATGTGCTGCAGACCCGCTAATCTAGGCGGTGTTTTCCCCAAAAAGACGACTGACCTCTGTCCTTCCATGCTGAGATCAATGCGTTTAAACGAAAACTAAAACAGGAAAAGTTTAAGTTTTCATGTAATAAACGAAGAGAGAAAATCCAGCCTGCTGAGAGACGACTGGTTCAGAAAAACTCATCTGCTGCTCGTTTCTGTCACAAAACAACCAAAGTTTTTCCATCCGGAGGTCAGAGTGGAGCTGCAGCGGACCTCCTCTCTGTCTGACCCAGCAGGAGCAACATGTCAGCGGATACGAAGATCGCTGAGCTGCTCACTGAGCTCCACCAGCTCATCAAACAGACTCAGGTGAGTTCGGCCGGAGCTGGCTGCTCACCTGGCAGGAGCCTGGAGGAGCAGGGCGAATGAAGCTCCTGTTCCTGTTTCAGGAGGAGAGGTCACGCAGCGAACACAATCTGCTGAACATCCAGAAGACCCACGAGAGGATGCAGACGGAGAACAAGAGTCAGTCAGGCCGCCGCCGCCATGTTGACTCAGGCTTCATGTGGGAGCAAGATGGAGGCCAGCAGTCCACCGTTAACTGGAGCTGATGTCCTTCCACTCCCACGTTTCAGGCTGCAACGCTGTTCAAGAAAGTTTTTCCTTGGACCTCTGACCCTTCTGTCTGAGGGGTCAGAGGTCACTGCTGGCCAGCTGAAGCTGTTCCTCCAGGACCTTCAGGGTCTCAGGATCTTCTGCTCTCATTTTGCTCATCCTGACTTCACTCTGCCGCCACTTCTCTTGGGAAGCATTGCAGCCTGAAAAGAGGAGCCTGACTGGCTGTGATAGGTTTCCATAGTAACATTAGGTGTTGCTATCCTGTCCTCTGTCTCCTGCAGCGTCTCCATACTACCGCACCAAGCTCAGGGGCCTGTACACCACAGCGAAGGCCGATGCAGAGGCTGAGTGCAGGTGAAACATTTCCTGTAGTTTGGTGAATCTGGTGAATCTCCTGCTGATGCAGCTGTTCTCCGTCTCCCTGCTGCAGCATCCTGCGTCACGCTCTGGATAAGATCGCTGAGATCAAGTCTCTGCTAGAGGAGCGGCGGATCGGTAGGTCCTCTTCCTCTTCCAGTGAGGATCGGATCTCCTGGTGCCAGATCTTATCCTCAGCAGCACTGTGTGTTTTTGCTCCTCAGCTGCTAAGATGGCTGGAGTTTACAGCGACAGCGACCCCCCCAGGAAGACCATGAGGCGTGGCGTCCTGATGACGCTGCTGCAGCAGTCGGCCATGACGCTTCCGCTGTGGATCGGCAAACCTGGAGAGAGGTACTGGCTGGTGGATCCAGATCCAGAACTTTCCCTGTTGTTGTTTCCCCTGACCTTGTTCTGGACTTCTGGGACTGATCCTTAATGGCATTAGCATGAGCTACCACCATGAGCTAGAACTAACACCATTAGTTAGAGCTAACATAATTAGCTAGAGCTAACACCATTAGTTAGAACTAACACCATTAGTTAGAGCTAACTAATGGTGTTAGCTCTAATGGCATGCTAATGGCATGAGTTAGCATGCTAATGGCATGAGTTCTAACTCATGCCATTAGCATGAGCTAATGGCTCATGCTAATGGCATGGCTAACATAATTAGCTAGAGCTAGCACCATTAGTTAGAGCTAACATCATTAGCCAGAGGTAACATCATTAGCTAGAGCTAGCACCATGAGCTAGAGCTAACATAATTAGTTAGAGCTAGCACCATTAGTTAGAGGTAACACCATTAGCTAGAGGTAACATCATTAGTTAGAGCTAGCACCATTAGTTAGAGGTAACACCATTAGCTAGAGCTAACATAATTAGCTAGAGCTAGCACCATTAGTTAGAGCTAGCACCATTAGTTAGAGGTAACACCATTAGCTAGAGGTAACGCCATTAGCTAGAGCTAGCACCAAATTGCAACAAAGTGAAATCACAATGTTTTAGTGATATTGCTGCGTCTGTCAGTCTTTGTAACAGTCAGTTCTGATCTGTCAGAGAAAATGTTTTGACCCTGATGCTAACTAGCCTCCAGTGTTTCTTCCATCTTGTTTTACGTCTGAATCAAATGTTTCTCAGATAAAGTTGATTGTTTCAACTAACTGTGGCTGATTTGACCTCTGACCTCCGGCCTCTCTGGGCCACCCCAGCCCCCCTCCTCTGTGCGGCGCCATCCCGGCCAGCAGTGACTACGTGGCCAAGCAGGGCGACAAGGTGGCGGCGCGGGTGAAGGCTGTGGATGGAGACGAGCAGTGGATCCTGGCAGAGGTGGTCAGCTACAACCACTCCACCAACAAGTGAGCTCCGGTCCGGTCCGGCTCGGTCCAGCCCGGTTTATCCAGACACCATGTTGGTCTGCAATCAGCTCAGCTTCTCCTGCTCTGCTCTCTCTGCAGGTATGAAGTGGACGACATCGATGAAGAAGGAAAAGAGTGAGTTGGTTTTTGGTTCTGGTCCGGGTTCAAACCGGACCAGAATCTCTGGAATTGTCCAATCAGAGAGCAGATCTCTGCAGTCGCTCCAGTTTTCAGGGAAATTAACATCAGGTCATGAGATCCCATCATTTTCACGCTAATGCATTGTTCTGAGTTTATAGCAAATTGTAAGTGATGCTGACTCCCACCTGCAGGTGGCAGTATTTCTGCTCCTGCCTGGCTTGATGTCCAGGTCTGTGGTGAGCAGCTTGAAGTCAGGTTTCCCATCATGCATCAGTGCAGCATTGGGAGTTATTTAGCACATGTTGCAGTAATGAACTGGACCACTGAAGGAAATCTACAATCTGCTTCTTTTTCTTCTGTCTGTAGATTTTAGAACCGGTTTAAATTAGAGACGCTGCGATCAGGTTTTTTGCTGCCGATACCGATCATCCATGAGGCCGATCTCTGCCGATCACCTGGAATGGTTGTCAATTTTTCGCTTTAGGTTTAAATATGTTATCTTGCAATATGGAAAAATGATCATTCACCTAATTTGGACATAATAGACATATTTTAATACATATCTAAAATCTTTTTTTTAAGTTACATGGTGCAGCTTTAAGCAGCTGTTCGGTGTGAGAGTTCACTGTCGGGTGGAGCTTGAGCGGCGCTACGTCTGTGAAATATTACCACCAGTAGCGGCGGTCCAACAGCGAGAGCAGAACCAGCGTCTCACTCCGCAGCTCAGACTTGAATTATTTTTCAGGTTATTTGTTTAGCTTTCTGACCGTCATGCTAATCCAGGTGAGTGCTGGTAGCTGCGCTGTCTGGCCAATCCAGATGTACTTTTTTCCTGCATTGAGCCTCGATGTAGCCAGACTCTGTCAAGTGTTTGTTTTCTAAATACCCAGTGACATGATGACATCATGGAAGAATAATATAAGATCATTTATATTGCTATTTTCATCCTGTGTTTTGTACTGTGAAGCATTTATTTTTCATTTAGCTTTAACAATTTCAATTATTTTTTTTCTTCAAAATCGTTGAATTTTCGCATTCACATACTCAGAAGCTCAGCAGGTGAGGCAGCAGGAAGCTGAGCCTCACCTGGACTGATCAGCCTCTGGCTCACTGCGCCGGCTGCCCCTGGATGAGAGCAGGTCCTCCTGTCTGCACGTCACCAATAAAATAGCCAAAAACATTTAATATATGAACTGATTTTTCATAATTTAGCCTATGTATATAATGTACAGTGTTTGTTGTCACCAGCTCTGTGTGTAACGTGTTTTATTACAGAAATAGCAGAGAACAGACTCCAGGTGAGGCAGGCAGTTCTCTGGCCTCATGGCAGGGGGCGCTCATAATCCCAGACATTGTGACTTCCACAACTGCAGAGTAAGAGATGGTAACAGCGAGCTAGCCATGGAGCTAATAAGTGAAGCTACACGCAACGAGTCTGCGTGCAGCTTGGCCGATGCAGAGAGAGAGAAAGGTGGTTTTGAGTTGCACTTCAGCAGGTTTTAGCACTAAATTAATAATATCCTTATTTCCAAGTTTGATTGAGTTAACAGTTATTCTACCCTATGGCCATGGATGACATGTGAATGTATATTTTTCTGCCCTTCATGTGCGAAATTTCCGTATGTAAACAATAACACGCAGGGCGTCTTATGATTTTGATGAAGTCGGAGCCTCACCAGCCATGAGCCTCGCTGCACGTCACTGTAAATGCCACGTTGGACTCGTTGTGTTGATGCATTTTAACTGCTTCACTCCCGAGGTAATTTTCCGCTGCAACACGCAAACCTCCCCGTTCGCTGAGCGTTCAAGTTCCACACGACAGGATTTGTTGCTGCGCAGTGAGAAGGAACGAGATGAGCTGCACAGACAGGCTGCGAAGTGATGCAGGCGATCGGTTTTAGTGATCGGCGATCACCGATCATACACTTTTTCACGATTATGATCGATGGCCAATCGATCGGCACACATCTAGTTTAAATGTGAAATTGCTGTCAAACGTTTCTGAGCGGCTCCCTGACGGCGGCTGTGGTTCCCAGCAGGAGGCACACGCTGAGCCGCCGGAGGATCATCCCTCTGCCTCAGTGGAAGGCCAACCCGGAGACCGACCCGGAGGCGCTGTTCAGCAAGGACCAGCTGGTTCTGGCCCTCTACCCGCAGACCACCTGCTTCTATCGCGCCCTGATCCACACGCCGCCGCACAGGGTGAGCCTCCCGCACCGCGCCCAGGAAACCAGTCACACCAGTGTAATGGCTGTTAAAGGGCCAGCATCACCTAAATGTTTCTGATCTTGTTATAAAGTTAGAACATCAGAATGATTCTTTCATGTTTGAGGAAGCCTTTCATCTCCATGGCAAAGAGCAGGAGCTTCTTAAAGAGACAGACGTCTAATTTCAACACGTTCAACTGGGAAGTCAAATTTCTTTAAAGTCGTGTTAGATGTGTGTATATACACATATAAAAATATAGTATGTTTATACCAACTGAAGGTAACAGTTACCACATCATACTCTAAAATGGCGCCATGTGCCTCAAAACGTAGCGCTGGCCCTTTAAATGACCTCCAGGTGGAAGCAGCTCGAGGTGTGAAATGTTTTTCTGCAGCAGATTATGTAAACTCTGAGCCGCTGAGCTCAGGTGTGACGCGCAGCGGGGCGATGCGGAGCGCCAGCTGACGTCAGGGTGTGTCTGTGTGCAGCCGCAGGACGACTACTCGGTTCTGTTCGAGGACACGTCGTACGCCGACGGATACTCCCCGCCGCTCAACGTGGCGCAGCGTTACGTGGTGGCCTGCAAGGAGAACAAGAAGAAGTGAGGCTGCAGGTGATGGAACAAACTCAACGTTTCCATGCAGCATCACCTGCTGGCCAGTGCAGGAACTGCAGGGCAGTCACTTTTATTTACATGTAAATTGTTGCACAAAGTGTCCTGATGAAACTTTGTTCTCATGTCTGCAGTGACGCTTTCTGATGTTTTCATATTAAACATTTTAAATAAATAAGTTCATCAGGAGGTCGTCTCTACAGGAGCTGCTTCTTACGTTTCTTTGTTTTTATGTTATTTCCCATGATTAACTTTTGTACATAATACCAACAGAAGAAGATTCTGAATAAAATTCATTTCTAATTATTTTGCTGATTCAGTTCAGAAACTCGCGTTTCAGCGTCGACTTTTTCTCAACATCAGAACAACACTAATTATTGACAGAAAAGTTGGGAAACCGTCATGGAGAAGACCGACCAGCAGGCGGGAAGCCACTAAAGCTCTGGTTCTTCAAACACAGCTGTGTCCAATGGTATTCAGAGGAAGTTGAGTGGAAGGAAAAAATGCAACATGGAGAGGATTTTCAATAAAAATCCATTTCATTTTCACTGGGTTTGGATCAGAACTGGAAACAGACCTTCAGATCCAACACTAGCTCCAGCTGTCCCACCGCAGAACCAGAGACATCAGAACCGTCTGGGCCAGGAGAACAGGTGTTCTGTCGATCTGTCATACCTCGTTAATCCAGCATACCTCGTGGTAATGCACATGCGCACATCGATATTACATTTTATGGAAGTAAATATGTGCCATCAGAATTTGAATAAAAAATGCATCCGAATTCAATTTTTTTAAAAATTCAGTGTCATTATTTGTACATGTTTGCAATTTTCATATGTTAAAAAAATTCACATTCCTATTTCAAAGATAAAATTTTCAATATATATTTCAGTGTTAAAAAAAATTCAGCATATAAAAAAATTCAACTTTTAAAAATTCAAATGCAATATTTTCAGTGTCCTAAAAAGTGTTGGGTTTGCGTTCGCCTCCATGGTCGCCAGCCTCGGTGATGCTGGTATTTCTTCACTATGACACCTGCGTCATGTGATTGGCTGGGTGTTGAAATCTGACAACGATTGCTAATGTCTGTGACCTGAAGTAACCTTGCCATTTTTGTACAGCGAATTTTTAGACGCTGAATTTGAGACAGCGAATTTGAGCAAGTTGAATTTTTAGGACACTGAAAATATTGCATCTGAATTTTTAAAAGTTGAATTTTTTTATATGCTGAATTTTTTTTAACACTGAAATATATATTGAAAATTTTATCTTTGAAATAGGAATGTGAATTTTTTTAACATATGAAAATTGCAAACATGTACAAATAATGACTGAATTTTTTTTTTAAATTGAATTTGGATGCATTTTTATTCAAATTCTGATGGCACATATTTACTTCCATAAATCTATTTATTTCCACGCAGCGTCCAGAAAGAGGTGATGTTCTGCTTGTTGCCTAACAGCTTCGGTCAGCATCCAGCAGCTTTTATAGGACATATTCCGTGCAGTTTTCTAAAGAAGTATTAAAATATTAAAAAGGTAGATTAGCTATAGGGACAAAATATCCCGACCAAATTTGTAGTTTTGTGTTTGTAGTAATAGTGACGCTAAACGGGACTAATGTCTTGATTACAGTTTGGTAACAATCTTCTGAGAAATAAAACACACAGGTATGACGGATTTATAAGAAATCTGCTGAGTAAGCAGTATGTGACGTAACATCGATGTGCGCATGCGTATTACCATAAAGTATGCTGGATTTACTGGTATGACAGTCAGAACACCTTAAGGTCTCAGAGTCTGGAGGAAGAGTGGACCAGAACCACTATGATTCTTCACTAAATTCTCCATCCAGACACAAAACGTCCAGATTTTCATTTTAAAATTCAAATCTGTCCAAGAATGTTCAGCAATTAAAAAAAGAGTGGGAATTCCGCGCTGCAGCTTGTCAGTGTAATCTGATGGTAGCTTCAGGCTACCTGGGATTCCTGAACATCTCGGCACGCCGGCGCGCTGCATAAATGCAGGAATTCATTTTAACAAACACTGAGCCCAGGTATGGTGCTGCACAAGGACAGGCTCACGGTTCAGTACTGAAACTTTTTTAATTTGTCTATAAAATATCTGAATTATCTGAGGAACTAAAGCTGGACTTAGAAATATTTCCTTCTGCATCTAATGAATCTAAATATTAGATGAGTTTCGTATTTTAAACCGAGGTGCTAAAATACACGAACTTTTCGACAATATTTAAAGATAAGCTAATATAGTTAGTTCCCGAAAGCAGCGCCGATCAGGTAAAATCCCTGTAGTAATCATATTCTCCGACAGTCCGTGAATGCAGCACCAGCTGGCGCTCTGCGTAGAAACAATCATGGCGGACACGGTGAGTGTTTGACTGACCTGCTGCCGCTTTTAAAACCAGCGAGCAGCGGGAGGCCTGCCGGCTTTTAGCGCAACACTTTATGATTCAAAGGAGGGAAACGGAGGCGGGAAGCTTTAGAGACGAGTTAATCTTTCCTCTGATGCTCAAACTCTGAACATTAGCGTCGCTAGAACGAGTCAGGGTTTTTCACAATAAGTGTCTTTTATTAAGGGCTCTAATAAACAGGAAGTAATAACATATGCTCTATTTATCTGATGATCAGAGGCTGTTTAATGTAATTTCTTAACATGTTAACATATCATACTCTGATTTGATAACGGTTGTTAAAGGTTTGCTCTGATTGGCTCAGTCTGGGACCCGACATGTTAAGGTCTGGTTCACGGCCCATGATGCAGTTCGGTTCCGATCAGCCTAAACTGAAATTTAACCTCAACATCAGCGTTGAGTACACCCTGCCCTGTTCTGGAGGATCGTTTGGACCAGATTTGACTCCTGGTTTACCTGCAGAACAAGCCCACATCACCATCCCTCCACCACCCAGGCTGCAGGTGCTGCTCTGACATTATTGCTTGAAGACAACAGAATCAGGATAAAAAGTGGATACACCAGGAATAAAACGGTGTGGGTTAAAGCAGGAGAGATGGAACCAGGCCAGAAGTAGATGAAAATAAAATCTGTTCTGTCCTGCAGAAACACTGGATGTTAAAACGGGATTTAACGACACTCCCAGTTCCTGGGGTCATTCGATGCATCTATCTGCTCCAGAGCAGCAGCCAATCAGAACCGTCCTCATGAGGTCCAGGTTCTGCTCAGCAGCTGACGGTCTGGTTGGATTTGACCTCTGACCTCTTCAGTTCCTGTCATGTCCTCAGGTGTCCAGCAGCGACCTCCGGCCTTCAGCCAAACGCAGACGCCTCAACCCCGCCGCCATTGTCCCTGTCCCCGTCTACTCCAGCAGGGTAAGATGGTTCTGACCCAGTTCTGGCCGGTTCTGACCCGGTTCTGACCCCAGATTGGCTGTGTTGTGTCTGTGTGTCCAGGTGAGCAGCAGTCTGCAGCTGAAGCCCTCAGCATGCCTGCTTGGAGGGAGGGAGAGCTCAGGTAAGACGCTGCAGCGGCGCTGCCGGCCACCAGGGGGCTCCACCTCTCTGACCGCATGCTGCTTCCACCTCTGACCAGATGATGGCGGTGATGAGAGCTTGTGGGCGGAGTTTAACCCCCGGAGGCCAGCGGTGGTGGAGCTCAGTGACTCCGAGGAGGAACCAGAACCTGGGCGGTTCCGATCCAAACCTGCAGAGAACCAGCTGTGAGTTGGACAGCAGCCGGTTCTGCTCAGTCCGGACGCGCCGTAGCTAACGCAGCATTGCTATCGTCTCTGTTTGTCCCAGAGGACACGCTGGCTGCCCGTCCCCGCCGCCGCCTGAGAGCCCGGTCCAGAAGCAGTCCAGCAAGGCCCGGCGGAAGATCAGGTGAGTCTGGTTCTGGTTCAGTTTGGTTCTGGTCCTGTCCGGTTCTGGTTCTGTCTCAGGCCGTCTGTCCTCTGTCCAGTGAGATCAACAAGAAGCTGCGAGCCGTCAGCGCCGTTCTGTCTCCGGAGCCTCCGGACCAGAGAACCAGTCGGCGCCGGAACCGTCGGAACCAAAGGTCTGACCTGACCGACGACAGTGATGATGTCATCATCCTGAGCCCGGCGGACGGGTCCGACTCGCCGCGGGAGATTCCACTGAAGATCCGCTGCCGGACTGACGTCCACAAGGTTCTGGTGCTGCCGGTACGTTCAGAACCAAACAGGCCCAAAGCTGCTCTGTCCTCCAGAACCACAACTGGGTCACAGGCTGTTGGTGTGACCCGGATCAGAACCAGGTCCTGATCCACGGTGGTTCGTGGGTCGGTCCTGTGGAGGACAGCTTGGGTTCGATGGACCGGAAGTGTGACCCGGTTTATGGCGGTTCTGTTCCAGTCGACCCGGCTCAGCGAGGTGTTGGGCCGGCTGGCCGCCATCCTGGAAGTCCCGCCCCCTCGCCTGCTGCTGCTGAGGGAGGAGCTGGAGCTGCCGGCCGGCGCCACCGTGGGGCAGCTGGGCCTCGGCATCGCAGACATCTTGGGTGAGTCACATGACCTCGGTGGACCGGACCGGACCGGTCCGGTACATAAGCTGCTGATGAGGGGAAAAAAAACAACAATAAATTTCTCATTGCAAATAATCAGATCAGTAACACAAAGAATTTTCTGTTTCAGTTTTAGAATCGTTGGTTTCTCAGTTTATTACAGATTTAACTAAATTTAATTAAAACGTTTCTGAGTTTATTTTGTTAGTTTTAGTGAACAATAATCAGGAGGTGTTCCGATCGATCAGCCACCAATCAATCGTTTTTCACGGCCGATTTCTGTGAAAAGTGTATGATCGGTCATCGATCACCGTCTCTTGTTGCCGATCACAAGTATCTCACTTCTCAGCCTGCGTTGCAGCTGATCTCCTCTTTCCTTCACACTGCGCAGGCGCGCAGCAACAAACGCTGTGATGTGGTGAGGAACTTTAACGCTGAGTGATTGGGGACGTTTGCGTGTTGCGGCGGAGAATTACCTCGGGGTGAAGCAGGTCACGATGCATCAACACAGCGAATCTAATATGATATTTAAAAACAAACACTTGATTGATTTGGCTGCATCAGTGCAGGAACAAAAGACATCCGGGTCCATCAGCAGGTAGAGCAGCGCAGCTACCTTTTTTAAATGTCTTTCTCACTGTTTACGTTTTAATGATGTTTTTCAAATCTCTTTCTCACATGCTGCTTTTATTTTAATTATGTGAAGCACTTTGAAATGCCTTGCTGCTGAAATGTGCTATACAAATAAAATTGGATTGATTGATTGATACCAACACTCACCGGATTAGCATCACGGTCAGAAAGCTAAACAAATAACCCCAACAATAATCCAAGTCTTGGAGCTGCAGAGTGAGACGCTGGTTCTGGTTCTGGTCGGACCGCCGCTGCTGGTGGTAATGTTTCCCAGACGGAGCCGCTCAGCCTCCAGACGGTGAGCTCTCACAGCGAGCAGCTGCAGCAGGAGCTGAAAACAGATTCTAGACGTGTATTAAAATATGTGTCATCTCTAAATTATGTGAATTTATTACCAGATCACAGAGCAGCATTTATACCTAAAGCAAAAAATTAACAGTCAATCCAGGCGATGGGCGGAGATCGGCATCATGGGTGATCGGTATCAGCAGCAAAGATCCTGATCGGAGCGTCTGTAACAATAACCTTAACCAGAACCTCCTGACCCGTACCAGAACCTCCTGACCCGTACCAGAACCTCCTGACCCGTACCAGAACCTCCTGACCCGTCTGTTTGCTGCCAGAATGTGTGGTGATGCCAGCAGAGGAGCAGAGCTGCAGCAGCAGCTGCGTCAGCCTGAAGCTGCAGAGCAGAGACAGATCTTCCTCCCAGCTCTTCTTGGTCCACAGAGTTCGTACTCCTCTTCCTCGCTGCTTCCTCATCTTCATCCTCTGTGCCGTAGCGTCCTGACAGTGTAGCGCCTCCTCTCCCCACCAGGAGGCGCCGCTGAGCTCCGTGTTCTCCCAGTACCTGTCGCGGCTCCCCGCCGGCGCCCGCAGGTCGGTCCGGTTCCACTTCGACGGCTCCAAGGTGGCGGGCAGCCAGACGGCGGCGCAGCTGGAGCTGGAGGACGGAGACATCATCGAAGTTTGGACCTGAAGCTTCGCCGCCGGCTCGGTTCTGTCGGGCTCAGAAACCAACAAACCCTCTGGAGTCCAGTTGGTTGGTCAATAGGTTCCGACTCCACAGATGGTTTTTATTTGATTCTAAGGATAATAATAATAAAGTTACTGGACCAGAGAAGACACACATTTACCAGTTTGTGTTAATAAATAAAGATTAGCGATTGAAACAAACTGGATCTAACTTTCATTTTCACTGAATATTATTTATTCACTTCTTGTGCCAAAACCGTGGCTCCTCCGCCGTTGCCATGGTTACCAGGGCTGCTCCTGTGGGGACATCCCGCTAATGCAGAGTTTCTCCACCCTGGTCCTCAGGCCTCCTGTCCTCCATGTTTCAGGTGTTTCCCTTCTGCCACCTGGATTGTATCTCTGGGTGATTAACAGGATCTGCAGCTCCTGATGGTCCTGCAGTCATTTGGATCAGCTGTTCTGGAACAGAGGCTCATCTAGAACATGCAGAGCAGGGGGGCTGAGGACCAGGTGGAGAAAAAATGCACTAATGGCTGATGGCAGAGCTAATTATTAGCTTAGCATTTTTGTTAGCTTTAGAAACGTTTAGCTAGCTTAACTTCCCCTAAGTTAATTTTTCCAAGTAAATTTTCAAGCTTTAATTTTCTTGGCTGTTTTGTAAACTTTCAGTTGAATAAAGCTCAACATTTGTCAAAGTTTTGGTTAATTCTTCAAATAAATGTTTATATTCATGCTCTTATTTTGAAGTGACTGTTTACGCTGCAGTTTCATTTCCTCTTTTTTCAGCAAACTTTGAGCAAGTACTAATTATATGATAAACAAAAGAGGTTTACAGACTTGATTAACAGCCAACCATGGTTGATAAATCCATCAAAAATTCAGATGTATGATTTTTTTGAGCCTCTTTTCTCCTTGTGACATGTCAACATGATTGAATTTAGCACTTTATTAGCTTCTACTAACTGCCATGGTGTTGTCACGCTTCAGCGTTAGCATAGCTAATGTTTCTGATTAGTGCTCCTGAGTTAGCGGTAGCACTGGTCTCAGTTCAGGTGATCAGCTCTGATCTCTGCAGTTAGCCTGCTGCTTTTTGTCCCTTTTCAAAAATGTAAGTTAAATTAAGACCTGGTTCCATTATTATTATTGCATTGACCTGATACAATCCCTTTGAACATTGTTGGAGACATATTTAGCAAAGTTGGGATATTTAGCTGGCAAATTGTTCAGGTATGGAGTGAAAATAGTCTCAAAATATCTGCATGTGTAAAAAGATTTATGTGTGTGTGTAAAAATATCTGTGCGTGTGTAATACTGGATTTGTAAACCTTAAAAATAAAATAAACCTTCTCCTACACCAATACATGTTGAAAAAGTACACACAAATCACCTGGTACGCACACACAAAACTGCATTTACACACAGATCCGGTTACGAGTGCACAACTATTTCTGAGACTCATTTCACGCTTCCGGGATTTGTGTGCAGATGATGCGTTTACATGCTAGTAAAAGCTGGGACATCTGAGTTTTGCTCTGAGTCTAGTGTTTTTATCCTCTGACGTTTCTCACTGTGCCGAAGTGGCAAATACGTTAGTTCG